AGGACCAGCTTAAACCAGCAAAGGACCAGCTTAAACCAGCATCCCAGCGTCAAAACATACCTAACCAGCATATGCTGTTTTTTTTCAGCAGGGCATACATTGGAATGTGTCCTATTTTATTTTTTCTGAGCAAAAAATAATGACTATGATACATTTTTACCATGATTTACAGAAGTCAAAAAATCAGTTTTACAGTGAAGGAAGAAGCAAAGCAATCATTGTTTGTAAGCCGTATGCAACTTAATATGAACAAATATTGAGGGAGATGCATTGTAAATAAACCAGGCCATGCGTTGTCATGGTGACGTACTCTCTCTAATGCCAGTGCTGACAACTGACTCATGGTTTCAGAGACTGTCACACGCTAAAGCTTCAGTAATTGAGCTAAGACTGATCAAGAAGCAAGGAGGATCACAGGTCATCGATCTCCCAGAACCAGGACACCTCGCTTCTCATTAAAACCACCTTTCACCAGTGTCACAGTGCCCATACATTACATTACAGTTATTCAAAGACATCTAACTAGACTAGACTAAAGCATTATTTTGGTTCATACTTTATCATTACTGAAATAAATTATGTAGTACTATGTATTACATTATCTTTGTGTCAGTGTATGAAGAGTTAATCAGTTATTAATTACATATAATATGGATGGTTAGCATCATAAGGAAAATTTGAAGTCAGTATAAAAGTCATTATAATTTATGACACTTCAGTTCGCACAGTTGTTGCATTTGTATCTTTTAAACACTAGATGGCACTAAAAGCATTTCCACTTATCTCAGTGCGCCAGTGAGTAATAATAATAATAATAATGCATTTTAAAAATATCCTAAAAGGTGTCTTACCTGTATTTTTGCACTTCATTACGTTGTGTTTTAGAGTTAAGTCTTTTTTTTTTTTTTTTTTTACAGCGTAGTAATTACATTGTTGTTTTTATTATTAATTAATTTTTTAAAAGTTTTTAGCGATATCATTTGATGTAACTTTTAAAAGCGATCCTCTAGGACTAGGTGGATCACAATCACAGTAGTATGACTAAATAATTTTATTTATTTATTTATTTTTATTATTTTAATTTTAAGTTGTTTTATAGTGATTTCTGGTTCAATTTTCAAATAAGTCATTTTAATTAATTAATTTGAATGCAGCGTAATGAGGAATTCCATGCGCCCCCTGGAGGAATGTTCCGCTATGTTCCACATGAAAGAGTCACATTTGCCAACAAGTTTCCTGGGTTCCTGAAAGTCGCAGCGATAGACAGTCAAGTCATTTCCGCGATTCGGTTCTTTTGAACAGTCCGTTTCAAAGAACCAATTCAAATAATTGATTCATGATTCTTACGTCACGACGTATATAAGTCCACGTTGCAGCCGTGCTCATGACATTTTTCAAAGATAATTTTTTACTTTGCCAATGTTACTGGAACTATATTATGCTGGCATTGTACTTATTCAGTTATATTGTAGCGTGAGATACAGAAATGTGTCAAACATATTCAGTATTCAAGACCTCTCTCATTTTTACGGAAAAAAAATACTTTTTGGCTTTATTAAATATTGCAAAGAGGATGAAAAGCGCTTTCATTTAATTATATTTGACC